TATGCGAGTGACCTTAAGCAAAATCGTAGCATGTTTGAGGTCGAGGCAATTAAGGTCGCTCCATGTGCATACTAGTTTAATGTGGTTCGTCCGACGCCCTTGAGTGGCGCCCTCCAGGCGTGTTGTCGCTCACAATGTAAGAATCTTTTCGCAGAGTAAACGCCGGACTCAGAGATTCAAGTCAGCTGTGGTCTGGGGGGCCCCTGCAGGGAGGCGGGTCAGGGTGAGGGAAGGGTGGGGGTCCCTCTGTAATGGCAACTTGATGGAGCCAGCTGGCCGTGAGCCATACGCAAGCAGACGAAGCGCGCTAGCAGACGACACGCGCCCGGCCGGGCGGGCGGTCCAGGGCCAGGGCCGCCAACTTGAGCCAGATGTTGCGTGTTGCAGTCTCGCCACACTACTAACTGGCCCGGGCTGGACACGGGGGGGGGGGGGGGGAGCAGGGCAGCCGCGTTGTTGCGCATGAAGAACTACTACTACACCAAACTAGAGCGCTCCCCCCTTGACGCCCTTTCTGCACCCTCCTCCCTTCGTTGCCGCCCGCTGTGCTGTTGTACAGGGAGAGGGAGCGAGTACACATTAAATCCTCGTGCATTGTGTTGTGCATAAACATGCAGAATTTTATACAGCCATATACCAGTAATTAAAGAATAGGTCTGTTTTCTAATTTTCTCACATAATTAGCTGCTTTTTTTTACAGTTTCACGTTGTTGCATACCCCTTTCCATTTGTAATGCCTTCTTACGTTTTAGTACATAACGAAAGCAGTAGAGGCGTCAAAACGGTCAATAGGGACAAGCGAAGTGTGCGACACACAGGTTTTTCGATGTGTCTGCGACACATTCTTCACCATAAACGAAGCATATTTGCGGTTCCTGTTGCGCTTTTGGAGTGTGTCGTACATTCTCTTCGAGTCCACACAGAAAAGATAGGTCGTCAGAACTAAATAATAGTTAATTTCGGGACAATCGATCAACAAATTGTCGAGGGAGCTAATAATTAGCTGTCAGAACGAAGATAAAGTTGCCAGAACAAGCTGCTCGCTCGTGTTCTGTACTTGAACTAACGCATTCGTTCTAAAAGCAAGCCACGAGTTGGCTCCGGCAGCGAAGTGCTTTGTTTTAGCAACCGACTCTTGGCTCTGACAACTTAATATTAGTTACCACATTTAATATTTATCGATGGTCCCGAAATTAACAAATAATTCGCATTCGTCCAGGGGCGATTTTTTAGGTACAGTGGAAAATTTCAGGACTGTGACACACTGAGGTGTGTTACGCCCCTTAATATACTAGCAAAAAAGCGTGACAAAGTCGTCTGACACAGGTCATGCACGCGCATGCATGCATGGTAATCGCACCTCACATTTCCGAAAACTGTAAAGACAAGTTTTACGACAAAGCAAATGTGTCGAGAGCGAGGTGTACTCAGAAAAGACTTAAACACCTTACGAGTCATATGGGAGAAAAATTTCTACACATGACAGTAGGACACTCTTTCCCTAACCTTGCAAAACGCTATACGAGAATGCACACTAAATGCCTACGAACTATATTTTTATGCTTAGTTATTAACTTGGTTTATGAAAATTGGTTTTAGAAAATGGGAAGAACGTAGTGAGATTGATATTTGTCGCCGAACGACATGAGTTCTACAACTCATTTAGAGTAAGTAGGAATGGTCAGTTTATAGCTATAAGCGGAAACCGACACCCGCACGTCGCTCGTGTAGTCGTAAAGCCCCCCCCGCCCCCCCACTTTTTCAACACTTGTGTCAATCCGCAATCCTCTTGGTATTTGAGAAGGCACGAGCTACTCGTATAAAACAGCTTGCCGAAGCCGAGCGAATCACCAGTAACCTAGCTGACCACCTCATAGCAGCAATGGCATCCAAACTTACTCTTCTCTTCGTGGCACTTGCGCTCGCCTGTGTCTGTGTAAGTCAATGTGACAACTACCACCCAGTGAGACCATATTTCTTCTGAGTAGAATACCCTCACTAAAATGTGTATAGTTATCCCTACAGTCTATAACGCAGTAATTTTCTTTGGGAGCTTGCGAAAGTTTATCGAAATTTGTTTGCAAATAGAAAATTCATTGTTTCTGGTTCACAGCTTGACGTAGCCTTCGCCGCCCCCTAAACTAAACAGGCAAATGTTTGATATGATATTCTACTTTTGTACATGTGTAGTTCAGTGGTTTTCGGAGCTACGTATTTAACACATTAAGTGCGGCTCTTTTTTGTTTCGCATGGTTTTATCTTCGAGCTTTACGCGATTTAACATGAACGATAGGTTATTCGTCAAAACCTGCCAAAGTTAATAAGTTCTCAATAAATTATGTTCTTTTCAGCCAAACGCTTATAGCTACGGTTGCAGCAGCATTTCACTCAAGCACCTTCGCGATCAGATCCAAATCTGCACAAGAAACGTCCCCTCTCAGCAATACTTCAACCCTGGCCAGACGTGCTCCGCCGAAGTCAGCGGCGCACTAAGGGGCGGGTCCTCCTGCTCAATGAACCAGGCTCCGGCCTTGCTGAGCCAGTGTCTTAAAGGCTACTCCCTTGATGGTGCGACGTCACAGGCTTGCCTTAAGACTGCAATTGACAATGGAAGCTGCTGCTAGCCACTGTCAACTGCGCGCTGTTTATTAGGTTGTTTTTCAAAACATCCAAAACAATAAACTACTTTGAGCTTATAAAATAGCCATCTACATTTATTTCTCCACCGTCATTGGGTAACCAAAACAGAAAAATTGCACAATCAGGCACGTGGCATTGTGTACTGAAAGGGCCACAGAAGTACATTTCTTGAACTTGTAAAAATGTCTCACTCTGATTTGTGCATCATCGCCGAATATTTTTATCTCGCGCCAAAAGTACATCACATAATATTAAGCACAATTTTATGGCTAACTATGTTCAGTTTGTGCATAATTCTGCACAATTTGTGCATAATTATGCCTAAAATTTGTGCATACTTATATGGTTGTAGTGTCTAAACTTTATGGCCCGGCTATCAGAAATGGGAGACAGGGGGGGGGGGCAGTATTGTGTTTCATTCAGGGGAGTGGCCGAGAGCCGGAAGGACGATCGATGGTCGATTGCTCCGGAAAATACCCTTTACCATGCGATGGCGCGCCATGCTGGAAGCGGAGGGGGCAACGGGGTGCCCGTATTATTATATGGGTAGACACGCACCAGCTGGGCCAGGGCCCGCCGGGGGGACGGGGCGGAGGGGAAGCTAAATACAGATGATACGCGGGCCGAGACGGAGCTGGGCGATGTGCACAGGACGGCACCGGCTCAGTAAAAGCGGCTTTCCGGTTGGTAATTATTTGCTGCGGACCGCTCGTCCTAATCAAATTGCGCGCCAAACGTAGTTTCGGATGCGCGCCGGGCAAGCGCGGTGCTTCAAAAGCGCTACAATATAGTTGTGTGTGTGTGTCCGAGGCGCCGGCGCAGGACTGCTGTGCAGAGTTGCAGAGTGTTGTTGCTCGAAAACAAATAATGACATTCCGCAAAGCACTTTTAGCTCGCTCGGTTTGTTCTTAATTAGAACCGAAAAGTCCACTCGTTGGCCGCGCCGCCGAGTGGCAAAAGGCCGGATCAAACATTGTATTCACAAAGCGCGCTAAGAGAGAGAGGGGGGAGAGAGAGAGAGAGAGAGAGAGAGATCTCGGGTTTTTCGGGTCGCACAATCACCATGGCGAGGCCTCGTCTACCAAGCGAAGCGGAAGCGAGGCGAAACGAAGCGCGCGCGACCCGCCTCGGGGGAGAGCCCCCCCCCCACCTCTCCCCTCTTACCCGGAGACATTTGTACTTCAAAGCGTCGCCGGCAGCGCGGCCGCGGCGGTGAGTTGCGCGCCGAGCACAGCGACAGCCTCGATCATCACGGGAGGGGCCATGCAGCATCTGAAGAGGTGCACTTGGAGAATGCGCTCGGGCTGCAGCAGCAGCAGCAGCCAGGAGGGCGGGGCTGGGCAACGTCGAGTACAGACGCTGGCTGTTGTAGTCTTGACTGGAGATGAGAGTAGGAAGCGAATCTGTTAGAGAGACTTTGGCCTGCTCGGGGCGACCCTGTGCCGCACGAGTGGTGCCGCCCGGGACGGGAGGTCTTCCTCCAGACCCATAGGCCACCCACCTCTCGCCACACCCTCTGTGTGGTGTGGAGGTCACCCTTCAGCTCCAGGCCACCCTGTGTCGTCTGGAGGTCGCCCTTCACACGGTAAACACATAAACAATGTCTCATTTTCTGAGTAAAAAGGGAAAACTTTGAGGAACTCCCATGTTTGGGGAAGAGTCCTCCGATCTCGCCTAAGATTTTGAGGAATCTTCTCAAAAAATTAGGAAAAATCCCACATTTTTTGAGGAGACTTCCTCGAAATCTGAGGACTCTTCCTCAAGCATTGGAGTTCCTCATAGTTTTCCCTTTATCCTCAAAAAATGAGACATTGTTTTACCGTGCACCTCCAGCCACCCTGTGTCGCCCACAGGTCACCCTCCAGCTCTAGGCCACCCTGTGCCGACCGGAGGTCGCCCTCCAGCTCCAGCCATCGTGCGGATCGCCACCACTGCGATTTTACGGCCCGCTCCGCTGTAAACTGTCGGTGGGGCGTTGTCGCGCGTCCTGCGGGTTAACGGCAGGGCCGTCAATCGCCCGCCGGCCTCCTGCAGGCCTGGCCACAGCCGCACTGGCATTCCAGGAATGATACCCCGCCATGTCATTTTGCATTTACTGCTTTGTGCGGTAATCCCCAAAACCTAAACTTTAATGAACCCTTTCCGCTAGGGCTATGTCCCTATAGGTTATGATAACCTAACCTATCCTTTACCCACGCTTCGACATCGAAATTAAATTAATAATCGTTATAAGGGTGGTATATACACAGGGTGGCTCACGCAGAAATTTCTACATTATTACAAATTTCTCATATGTAAGCGTGTTATTGTACAAGAATTACTCATGTGTAAGAGTGTTAGTAAACAAGAATTCCTCTCATATCTAAGAGTGTTAGTAAACAGAAAAGGAACGTTTCCTCCTTCCGTGAGGAGCCACGCAGTTTAGAGGCCTTTGCGCGGAGTGGCTGCTCAGGAGCAAGGCCACGTGGAGACACTTGAGACGCACGAGTCCCCGTGGTGTAGTGACCTCCCCGCCCCACCACGCCACGCCACGCACGACGAGGCACCAACACTTGACCCGTTTCGTAATTACTGGCCAGCACGTCTGGAGGCCGAGGGGTAGGGGGGGGGGAGAAGTACACCCCCTTTCTTTACGCACTATGGTGCCCCCTCCTTTCCTCCTATACCCCTCCTCCAGCTTAACATAACTCGCTTCATCCCCCCTGCGTGGGGCTCGGCTTTTTCCTGTCTTTCCTAAATTCTTTCCAGATTGTTTAAGGAGGAGTAAGAGGAGAAGGAGGGGGAAAGAGAGTGTAGTGTTTCTATTTATTCATTCCGTTTGTCGACGGCGCAGACGCTTTTGCTGCTTCCGAGTACCAACCACGCCCCTGGCCGCCGCGCCCACGTCTCAGCAGCGCTCGAAGGCTCCCATCCCTTGCTGTTTCTTTATACATTTCCCCCTTCCCCCCTTCCGTTGCCCCCGCTGCAGCCTGCTGGGCGGAAGGTTTTCCCCGCGTAATCCTTCGCGGCCGCCGCCACGCCCACCAGAGCAGGCCGCTGCGCCTCCGCTGCATCCCCCTCCCCTCACCCCACCCCTCTTCCCCTAATCCGACGATTCCGCCAATCCCAATCTCTTACGACGGGAGCATCAAATCTGTGTCCGCGGACAGCGGCACTTGCTGGGTCGTGGGAACCGGCGCGGAACGGCGGTACGCCCTAAGTGCCTACCGCACCCCACCCCGCCCCACCACACCCCACCCCACCACACCCCACCCTACCCTATCCTCTAGCCTTGGTCCGCGATAAGACTTGCCGCCGTTGCTGTTAAAGGCGGGACGGTTTAAACGACACCCCGCGGTTCACCTCGCCGCGGCGCATAGGGCAGCAAATGGACCGGACGGGACCCCGGCGACCGTAAACGAGTGTTTCCAGCCGGTCACGTGGTTCGTTGATGATGTATTTGCCTCTCTCTTTCCAGCCCCCTCCTGCGGGACGCGGCGGAGTTAGTATACACGTTATACACTGTCTAAAATTGTCGCATACCGGGTACAGGAAAATTTCCCAATTTCCCGCATTGAAGCAGAAGTCGCACAATCACAATTCGAGATTGTTAACGTGTAACCGAGCGTGTAACCAGTCCTTATCGACTTGAACTCGAATGGGCGAGTGCGATGAGCTTTGTGGGGGTTACATGTACGTTAAATATTACAAAACATATCGTACGTGGATGATTATTTTTCTTTATGAGCGTATATAATGAACGGTCTAGAGAACATGTTTCGTATTTATTTTCACTTACTCTAGCTTTATTTCTTGAGTATGTGTGAAGAAAGGGCTCACATTCGAGAAAAAGCAAATCAACCATGGGGTAAAGTTAAAACGCGCTCTGTGATATTGTATCCTGCTCGGTTTGTTCTCCCTTTTGTTTCTAAGAGCCGCACAGGGTAGAAGTCGTGTGACCTGAGTTTGCCCGTTGGCTCGCAATCAACTCGCCCCCTGCTCGCTCGCTCCTGCGCTCGGAAGAGTTAAAACTGTTGAATTCCTTGGCAACTAACTCGCGAGTGCCTCTAATTTTAATTTACGCCGCACCTCCTTCGCCATGCTCCGGGTGAGTCATGAGGACAAACAAAGTGACGCGATAGCGCAGCCGCTCTGGCGTCGTCTTTTGTCTGCGCCGAGTGAAAAACGTGTGTGCTTGGCGCTGTAAATGCTTTTATATTCAATTCCTACGGTAACTATATATACTTTGTGTGGGCATTGTGCACGTCATGGCATGTGACACCAGTTTGATTTACTCCGAAATCGCTCCTTTTACTAGGGGATCGCCTGTTTTTTTCTCATAGTCATTCGGCAAATTATGGGATCTGGACAGACGCCCGTGAGACTTAGGGTAGGCTATCCCGCAGTACACGCGTGCACTGCAGGCTAGATATTGCCTACCTATTAGGTGCTGTGAGAGGTTGCCTAAGGATGTATAAAGTATGGCTGTTTTATAACGTAAATAATTGTCTGTCTCTTTTTATTTTTGATGTGGATTCGGGGGAACTGACGATCTGTCGTTGTTGACTGTGGTCGCGGGCGCAGACATCCGCGGAGCCAGAGCCAAAGCCTCAATCCGAAATAAAAATTTCGACAAGCCCGCCAGGGGCTGGATCTGCATTGCAAATAATTCCTCGAGACAAAGAGGGCGTCGACTCCGTCGTCGCTATGGCGCTGCAGAAGACTATATATAGATGATTAGAAAAATCAAGTTTATTGTTTTCGTCCGGTCCAGCGACCACAGCAGCAGAGAGCGACCATCGTCGGATGCTGTGCTGCACGCTTGCGCTGGCGTGGCCGGAATCATTAAAATGTATTTTGGGGTGGAGGCTAAGAAATGAGCCAGTGATTATACAATCCACCGAGAAATAATTTCAATAAGAAAGGGTGTTCCCATGATGTGTGTTGGAAAACTGCAGTTTAAAATTGTTAAATTACGAGTACTGACTTGAAATTCACTTGCGTGAATGGGCTGTCGCAAATTTACAACATATTTTGTAAATCGTAAATACGAAATAATTTTTTAATTTACTAAGATATATTTC